ACCTTTCTTGTGTGTCTTGTGCAGTCTGTTGTCTTCGTGGTTGTGTGTTTTGTTTGACTTGCTGTTTTCAGTTACTTATTAGGCTCCTCATAGAGGACATAACCTGGTCTTTCCCTTCCTCCCTCATCCTGATTCTGACAACATTTGTAACTGGATTAAAGATCGTTTCTTTCTGGAGGCCCTCCAGGCTTTCAGTTGCAAGAAATCTCCCTACACACCCTTATCCTCATCTGCTATATTTCCAGGCAGACTAAAAGTCATTTTTCTCCACAGGTCGGACCCCAGCCTCCAGGAGGGAGGACTACTACAGTGGTAGTCTGTGGTTTTCTCCAAAACTCCCACTGTGTCTGTTTCCCCCCTCTGTAGGAATTGTCTTCCTCTGACTCACAATAGGAGAGGGAGACAAGCAGTGGGCCCTGGGATGGGGGACAAGGGCGGTGTTGGCTGTTAATTATGAAGCAGAGAGAGGTAGTTTTTTGTTGATTTTTACTGGCTGCAGACCACTCTGCTGGTGTAGGGGTCTGGTCCATAGCCTACTAGGTGTCTTATCAGAACTTCACTAGATTCAAGGTTGCAAGTTTTCTGCAAGTACAATTAATCTTTCTCTGCCCTGGTTTATTATTTTTAACCCTTCCAATACTAAATTAAACCGATACAATATACTTTAAGTGCATAAATATTAATCTAAAAATGCTGACTAGGACGATGACACATTTGTAATTCCTTAACTAATAAAGATAAAAATATTTAAAAATAAATAAATAAAATAAATAAAAAATAATAATTGTGAAGGCTAATTTTACATGTCAACCTGACTAGGTCACAAGGTGCCCGGATATTTGGTCAAACATTATTTTAGGAGTGTTTCTGAGGATGTTTTTTGATGAGTTTAACATTTAAATCAGTAGGTTGAATAAAGCAGATTGCCCTCCCTAATGTGGGTGGGCCCCATGCACCCAACTGAAGGCATGAATAGAACAAAAAGGCTGACCCCTGCTGGTAAGCGGGGCCCCCTCTTTCCTGACTATTGAGCTGGGCCATTGGTTTTTCCCCTGCTTTTGGATTCAAAGTGAAACATCAGCTCTCCTGGGTCTCCAGCCAGACAACTCACCTGCAGATCCTGGGACTTGTCCAGTGGGACTCCGTATTCACATGAGCCAATTCCCTATAATATCTCTCTCTCTCTCTCTCTCTCAGTTCCATTTCTCCAGAGAACCCTACCCCAGAACTCTTCACCTAACAATGGTTTGACTGCTAGGAGAACTTAGGAAGCCACTGTGTCCCGTAAGTCACTGACTCTTAGCTGCCTCGAACATGGATAGGCAGCGACTATTGAGTAGAGTGTCCAACTTCCCACCATGTCCCATCAATGTGAGCTGATAAGTCATGACCTTCCCCGATGATGACTCTCAAGGCACCTCTCCAGGAGCATCTGACCTGTCTTCTCCCAAGCACAGAGCCAAAAGGATGATGAGGTGCCTGTTTCTGAGGCCTCATCAATCATAGCAGGAAGGGAAAGGATGAGGAAAGATGAAGAAACAGAGGGAAGGGGTTACAGGTAAAAAAAAAAAAAAAGTCTAAAAAAGCCTCAAAGTGTTGTCTTAGAATTCCTTGCTGGGAATCCTTAGAGGTGATGGAGATGCCATAACCAACAAACTCTTCAGGTGACTCTGTGCACCTAAAGTTTGCACTTTAAAACCGTGGAGACCTACTGCTCAGTGGTGGAAATGGACACTGGTTGCTGACTTGGGGTTTTGTGGTCCTGCTGTCCATCAGCATTTCAGAGTTAAGTGCTGTAGAATACCTGCCCGTGCACTTAAGAGAGGGCGGGCCTCTTTCATATCATCGTTCACACTTCAGTCCCGTGATTGACACCAATTCTACAACCTTACTGTGCCCTCAGTCAGCCGGAGGGCTTGTTCAAACAAATTGCTGGGCCCCGCTCCCAGCGTCTCTTATTCAACAGGTCGTGGGAGGAGCCTGAGAGTTTACATTTCTAACAAGTTCCCGTTAGAGCAACATCTAGTGATGTTGTTCATCCAGGAAACACACTTTGAAAAGCACTGATTTACACAATGGATGAATTCTTGGAAAGTAGCATATATACTGAGGGTTCTTTTTTTATTTCTTTCTTATTTGGGCAGAGAAGTATAACTAAAGGAGAGAAAAAAATCACCGGCTACCTTACCACCCACTACCCACTGGACCAACACACACACACACACACACACACCTCTTAAAAAATAAGATTCCACTGCATGTTGCACTATGCCTACCTCCTTCACGAACCTCCCCCACTCGTCCACAACATAGCTTCTAACCCACACATGGCACCGACACTGTTTAGAGTCATCACAATTGTATACAAAACATCCTTCAATAACTTTATTGTTTTAAATAAATATGCTCAGTGTAAGAATCAAACAATAGAGAAAAATACAAAGAAAGGAAAAGGCATCTCAATTTTCACAGCCCTGGAGACAATCCCCATTAATAAATTGATGTACATCTTTCAATGCACATAATCCTATATACTTCCATAAATTTTATGTATAATCCAAACTAGTTTGTATTCTATTTTTTAAACTTGTATAAAATAAGTTTAGATAAAGCTCATACAACCTCAAAAATACTCTGAAAATGTATTACTTAGTGGAATCTTAGCACAAATCCTCGTAGGAAATGAAGCTTACTTTTATGTCGTGAATTTTTGCTGACTCCCCACAGATCCACAGTTATTGTATGTGTATGTGTGTGTGTGTGTGTGTATGCGTGTGCACGCGCACATGTGCACACGTGTGCGCATCCCCCATCTCACTTATCAGGCTTGCTTCAGGAAGAGTTTGCCTGCAATAAGAATGAGTCTTTTGGAGTAAGTCAGAGTTCTGGGTCTAAGTCAGTGTTCAGAGCAGAGATGGTCCCAAACACAGAGTGTTGAAGCCTCTGGGTAAACTCTGAACTTTCCCTAGTGGTCTAGGACTAATGGCACTAATCTCCGGTCTCGGTTGAGTCTCACCGGTGTTCTGGCTCTAGAATGAGTCACTGGCTAAGGGTGTAGTAAGCAAAGGGTGGAAGTGGGCAGAGTGAGACGGGTGGGGGCGGTGATGTGATCAGCACAGCCCAGAGAGCACACCCACATCCCACACCCAGGCTGGGGGCTCTCAGAAGGACCAAGCACCCCTTTGCATCAGTAGAATGTAGGTACACTGTTTTACAGGACATCCTTTTGCTAATCCGTCCTCATTTCCCAGGTGAGGTTTGATGTGCGATTCCCTGTGATCACTCACAAAATGCCCTGAGCACTGTGCCCGGCACATAGTACCCACTCAATAAACACGTCACTGAGAAGGCAGAGTGAGAATCCACATGCTGGAGGGTCTCTGGGGCAGGCCACACTTCCACTCTGTAGACTATAATGAGATGGGCATTTCAGGGCACCAAGAGATAGTGCAGAATCAAAGATGAGTTCCCCATCCAAGCTAAAGCCTAATGAAGTCCAAAGAGCACATACACAGCCCCCAACCCTATAAAGGTGGAAATCGTCATCGTCACAGCAAGACCCAGACTCGGATCAGACCCAGCTGACTCGGTGACAGAGGACAACAGAAGGGCCTGACCCACAGCACACAGCTGACCATGCCAGCAAATGGAGAGGCCGTCACAACCCTGGGAGAAGCTGGGGTAAAGGCTAGTGACAATCCTTTTGCCTTGTTTGGAATACACAGATACGAAGTAGCCCGAATGTATTGATAGAAGGCAAGAAAGTTGAGATTCAAATAAAGGGTGAGGGAGGACCATAGCAGGGATGTACCTATGTTTCTCATCTTAAAAAGGAACCAGTAACCTCAGCAATGTATACTAAAGAACACTGGTCACATTCCACGAATCCCGTCTAATCCCATGAAGAAGAGAAAAATCACTGCATGGCAGTGCTGCGTGTCTCCGCCTCATCACCGTCATTTCCCCCCAGGAGTCTCCTGCAACAGCGTGGAAAGCAGTTAGTACAGTACCTGGCTCGTGGCAACGACTCGATAAAGGTAAACTAGTTGGAACAGCAGCAACCAGGAGCATCAGTTTAGCTAGTTGGAACCCTGCTCAGCATAGAATTCAAGTCTTCTCGAAATCGGATGAGTGCTTTTCCCCCGAACCCACCCTCCCTGTTCCTTCAGAGCCGAGGCTTGGCCCTTCCATCTCCAGTCTTCCAAGTTCTTCCGCTGCTCTCTCCAGTGTCCCTCGGGTCCACGATGACAGAGCTATCCCAGCTGAAGAACTGAACTTCACAGGTCTGACACTGACACAACCCATGGAATTCAGTTCTCAAAGCTGAGGATACACAGAGGCCTTCCAGAGTCGACACAAAGCCCCCCTCCTTGCAGTCCAGGCCCGGCCCAGCCCTGCAAGATACAAGAGAAAAGCCAGGTGAGCCCAGAGCAGCTGCCTCCCGGCACCAGGTCTAGTCCTGAACACCTGGAGGTATATGCATGGTAGGCACGTGCCTCGTGAAACATCATTAAACATCAGAGCTGGTCTTTCCCACCTCGTGGCCCTTGCACATGCTATCCCCCGGCCCAGAAAACGCTTCTTTCTCTTTAACACCTACTCATCCTTAGGTTCTCACTTTCAATGTCACTTCCTCAGAGAGGCCATCTATGGTAGACACTGCTAACTGTTCACCCAACATCT